ATGGTCACCTTTCTTTTTTTTTAATGACAGGGGGTGTGGGTGGGTTGTCATCGACGGGGGTATGTGTGTGTGCGTGTGCGTGTGTGTGTGTGTGGAAAATCGGGCTCCATCTCTCGCAGACTCACATTTCTTCTTTTCTTCGAAAGTGACAGAGCAGAAATGACAGAAGATCATGACGACGCAATGATGGGTAAGGAGTCACCACCTGCCTGAAAGGCTTGGGTTGGGCATCCGTTTTCCATGACCGTTCATCTCAATTTCCTCTTTTTTAATTTTCTTTTCTTCTTCCATTTTTTTACTTTTTCTCTCTTCTTGTTGCTCCGCCTCTTTTTCCAGCCCTATGCAGCGGTTTGGGGAGTGATAGGAGTTCTCACCGCGTCGCGTCGTCTCTCATCCTCGCTCATCTTTATCAGGACGCGGCCTCGCCTGATTGGCTCTCCCCGTCAGTGGACTAACCATCGGAGATGCACCACGAGGATCTTCGCTGCTGCGGCCGTCGTTTAAATATTCCACCTGGGTCTCTTTGCTTTTTCCTGCTGTTGTGTCCGTCCAGTGACTAAGTTCTAGAGGTAATGAACCCAAGTACAAAGCCACGATGTGGCGGTCCAGCAGATGGTTGCCCAGAACTTTCTTCATTTTTCGTATGCAGGGACAATACGGGATAGAACCACGAGCATACGTCCAGAACAATACAATTTTTAGCTTTTTACTTTATGTCATAAGAGGGATGTTGTCCTCTACCACATCTGCAATTTTTGTTTTCCCTTCATGAGACGATTTGTTTCTAGTTCAGCTTCCCCGTCAAGTGTTGCTAGCCATCAACGTGGCAGGTGACTAGAATTCTGTTCATCCAGACCCTATGGGAAGTGGTCACGAGGCCGATCCCAACAGCGATAAACTCCAGCGATAAACTCCCCAGAGAGTTACTGACTACTAATTGGGAGCCGGTGTACACGGTATACATAAGCTTGCTGAGAACCTCGTGAAGAACCACGGATCACTGGGGACACCCGCGGGAAGGGGTGAAACCTAATCAGGGTGTACCTTGACAAAAGCAGCCAGCTGCGTTTTTAAGATGGAGGGAAGAGACAAAGAAGCAAATCCGAGGCTGACAAGGAACTCTAGACTACCTTACTAGTAAACTGTTACTCTTGCTGGATGGGGTTCTGGCCAGTCGGAGTGTGCGCGTGCCCCGGATTCGAACCAGCCTCGGACGAAGGGGAGATCCGGAGAAAGGTTCAGCTTGACACCGGCAATCCCGTGTGCGTCGACCTAGTTATTGCTCGTGACTACAGCTATCTACTAACTATTTCTTGACTAGTCAATAGTTGACACACACTACAGTGACTACCCAGGCCCGGAGAATATCAGCTTAAGTAAGATGAAGGTGCATATAATGCCACCAGCAGCAGCAAGGGTCACATCGACACATCCCCACAGACACAGTCGGCTGAAAGGGTCTGCGCGATGAGGCAAGAGGGGATGGTGATGGAACATGGCCAGCCATGACCAATTTCCTCCGTGGAAGGGCAGATCTGCGATGTTGTCTGTCCGCCAGCAGAGCAGAGCAGAGCAGAGCAGGCGATTCACGGAGTATTTGAGCCCGGAGTGTTCCTGCTTTTCCCTAAGACCGGGTGGTGCAATGGGCCTTTCTTTAATAATCCTTATAAAAGAGTGGCTCCGAATCGGCAGAGGAAATAACAATATCCTCGGCCAAGCACGGGATCGCAGACGGCAACTGCCCCCCACCAGCACACGTGACTCTTCACTCCCCGGGAATTGAGCGTCTCAGTCTCCGCAGCTGCCCATCCAAAAAGAGTCATTCCTCCTCCACCGGTCGGTCTGCCCACTTCCCTCCGCCCGTGCTCTCTTTCCTTTTTCTCTCGACTTTCCCACCAAACACCCCCAAAGTGTCTCGATCGGTCTGAAAAAGTAAGATCTCTTCTTGGCTATTGTTTGTTCTTTTTTTCTGTCTATCTATATTATACCCCGTTGTGGTATATATCTCTCTGTCTCCTGCCCACCCGAGTTCCTGGTTCTCTGCGCAGGCACCATTCCGGGGATCTTCATACCGCCCGCCGTTCCGAGCTCGCCTGCGAGCGGAGGTGTCCCTCAACCTCGGTAGTCCTTCTCCCACCTCTCTCACTCCTTACCAACTATCACAATTGACTGACCAGCTATTCGACCAGCTGCTCTCAATAACTTGGAGCGCCTGTATAATTCGCATTGGTTGTATCGAGTGCTATTCCAGGCCGTCTGGCCTGATCCTCGCGTTGACATCATGTGGAAGCCGTCGGAGAGTCTGATGAACACCATCAGACATTATGCCAGCTTCCCTGCTACTGGTGTCTCTCTCCGGCAGATGGTGCAGTTTGGAGATAGGCCCTCCACAGGTAAAGTCTTCTTGTTTTCTTTTACAAGCACTCCTCTCTTTCTTTCAACTTCTTGAGTGTTCACCCCGCTAACCTCATGATCTTTCCCCCTCACCAGGCACCCTCTTTCGCGCCTCACAGTTCCTTTCCGAAGAACTCCCAATACGTCTCGCTCATCGGGTCCAGGATCTTGGAGAACTTCCAGATGGTCTCAGTGAAATGCCATCTATCAAGAAGGTCCAGGACTGGTACGCACAGTCGTTCGAGGTATGACTCATACCCGCCGCTGGAAGTTGGTTCTCGGGTGACCGACTGACATGTGATAACGTAGGAAATCATCAACCTCCCTCGACCTACTCTGACCCAGGAAGTCAAAACTCGTCTGCTTCGTCCGGGGAGGCTCAACGGAGGCACTTCGAGGATCCTCTCCGAAACCACACAGAACCCTAGCATCCGTGAAGGACAATACCGCTCGTCTCCCTCGTCCCTGTTGAACGGCAACGGCAACGGCAAAGGCGCCGCCGTGGGCCGAAGATACTATGCTCCGTCTGATGACCATGGAGATTGGCCCCCAGAACTGAATGATTACAATGAACGCTTCGCCAAGACGTTGCAGCACATCAAGCGGAGACACGACAGTGTTGTGACTACCGTGGCTCAAGGTATCCTCGAATGGAAACGAAAGCGCCAACGTCTGCAGATTGATTCCACCGTACAGTCCTTCCTTGATCGGTTTTACATGTCCCGGATTGGTATACGAATGTTAATCGGTCAACATATCGCATTAACGGAACAAACGCATGTGCGACAACCAAACTATGTCGGTATCATCTGTACGAAAACCAATGTGCGCGAGGTCGCCCTTGAGGCTATCGACAACGCTCGCTTCGTCTGTGAGGATTACTATGGTCTCTTTGATGCCCCCAAAGTGCAACTTGTCTGCAAGGAAGATCTGAACTTCATGTATGTTCCGGGTCACTTGTCCCATATGCTCTTTGAAACCTTGAAGAACTCCTTGCGTGCGGTCGTGGAAGCCCACGGCGCAGACAAGGATGCCTTCCCGGTCACCAAGGTCATCATCGCGGAGGGCAAAGAAGACATTACGATCAAGATTTCCGACGAAGGTGGTGGCATCCCTCGCTCCGCCATCCCCTTGGTCTGGACGTACATGTACACTACCGTAGAGCAAACTCCTAGCCTGGATCCCGACTTTGACAAGAGTGACTTCAAGGCTCCCATGGCTGGTTTTGGATACGGTCTGCCGATCAGTCGACTGTATGCTCGCTACTTTGGTGGCGATCTGAAGCTGATCAGTATGGAAGGGTGAGTGCCAAGGTCCCGACCAATGTGAACGACCCAAGGTGACTAACCACACGCTAGGTATGGCACTGATGTCTATCTCCATCTCAACCGGCTCTCTTCGAGCTCGGAGCCCCTGCAATGACAATTACCAGTCATGAGGGATGGTCGTGTCCGGTTCTCCACTTCCCACCGACTGCATCCTTTCTACACAGAACCGGATCCACCACCATCCCAAGGATTGACGCCGATGAATATTCAAAGCGCACGGATGCGCAATCGGGAAGTTTCCGAACGCAAGCAAGTTGGAGATGCAGCAATTCTACTCAACGCTGAGACGCGTGGATAAAGTAGATGCAATTTTGCTTGGCGCTTACCCTCGCCCAGTCAACACGCCCATGCCGACGCACTAGACTGGAGTACTAGTGGGGACAGAACTTCTAGAGAACTATAAGCCACGAAACCTTGTCATACCATGGCTCAACATGTGACATGGTCGGCCCCCTTGCAGGCCTTGTGGGTGGAAAGGTGCTACTACCATTTTTATACTTGTTGAAAAGTGTTGCGCTGGCATTCCCCTGTGTTTTGGGGAGGATGTATTGAGATTCAGGCCGCATTTCTGGTCTATTAGATACCCTTTTTGGTACGATGGATCCGCGTTGGAAGACACAGACGCTCATGCATTCATTGACCTGAGTCGTATTTTGGAGATCTATCTATACACCACTATAGATGATTGGGCGCCTGTGCCTGCATGCTTCCCTGGACACCATCTTTTGTTGCTTGTTTGCTTGCCATTATTGATTGCTATTGGTTACCTTGCATGTTATGCATGAGTCGCAACCCTCCTTGTATAGTATGTTTCTTACGGATTGACGGAATATGGTACGGTATGGTTTTGGATAGGATTTGTATGTACACAAACGCAGCGCTGAATCATTGTTTGGATATGTGAATAATACACCCTAGAATTAAACCCGTAAGAGAAAGCTTAGCATCTACTTAGTACTACTCCTCAACCAACCCCCTCCTCCTCTCCCTCTCCCGATACGACGCCGACTGCTGCAACCCCCTCCCCCCTCTCACTCCCCTCCCCACCCGATCCGGCGTCCCCATCCTCCCCTTCATCTTCGACGCCGCCGACCCAGACCCGGAGATCGACCCCGACCCCACCGACGCAGGCGATGACTGCATCCCCCCAGCACCGCTAGCACTGACCGATCCCCCCCGTCCCGCACGCTCCATCATCGGCCTCCTCCACCCCGCATCATCCGTCTCATACACATCCACCACCTGTCGCGGCACAATCATCGCAACCGTCGACAACGACGACGAAGCAATACTGCTCGTGCTAGGATGCTGTACCGTGAACCGGTCTGCGCGGATCGAGGCCGCGGCTTCGGGGTCCTCGGGGGCGAGAAGGCGGGATAGAAATCTTCGGCGGGATTGGGGGAGGGTCTGTATATTATTCATTCGTACTGTTAAACATAGTGATGCATTTATGGGGAAGAAGTGGGGGAGGGGGGAGAAGTTCTTACCTCCTGATGCGCCAACGCTTGAATCGTCAGTAGTTCCCTGTCTAGGAGGACACATAACGCGGCGTGGCGGTCTTCGCGGAGGCGAGTGCGTATTTGACGTTCTTGGTCGAGGGTTGTTTGGTAGAGTGTTGGGCCTAGGTTGGGGGTTGGTGTTGTTGGGTAGGCTTGGTTGATTTGTTAGTGGGGTTCAATTGGTGGTAAAGTTATGGGATGTGTGGTTGATTGCGGGGATGTTTGCTATGTGCTGCGCTGGGTGAATGAAAGGTGTGCTGGGGGGGTGTGAGTACTTACTATACCCCATTATACCCGACTGAGGCCGCGAAGACTGTAACGAGTACTCTACCTGCATATCGTCATCGTCCTCCGCCGACTCGCTCTCTTCGAGGTCGAGTTCGCGGATCAAAGAGTCTTCATCGCCTTCGAATGCTTGGATGTAGATCTCTTCTGGGTAGTCGTTTTCGAGTTCTTCGTCCTCGTCATCATCGGCAATCACGATGGGGTCTCCTTGGCGACGGCCGGGGTTGGGTGTGGGGATGTTGGGGTTGAACATTATTTCTTCTTTTTCTTCTCTTCTTTGTTTCTTTCGTTGAGGAATTGAGATTGAGGTGTGATTTGGGGGGGGGGGGGGGGGGGGGGGGTTTTTTTTTTTTTTTTTTTTTTTTTTTTTTTTTTTTTTTTTTTTTTTTTTTGGGGGGGGGGGGGGGGGGGGGGGGGGGTAGTGCGTGGAGGATGTACGTTTTTTGTTTCTGTGTGTGGTATATGCGCAGAGCGGGTATTGTTCAAGTCGCTCCGGTTAGCATGTGAATATGCGTAATGCGCGCTGATAGGAAGCACGGAGATAATTGATAAATGGTTGGAAGTTGTAAGTAGGATTGTGTATATGTAAGAAGTGCAGAAAGTATGCTGGTATGTCGATAGACAGAGTGGAGGTGCTGTGTGCTGTGGGAGTGTGTGATTCGTGCTCAAAAGTATTCGGTAGAGCGACACGAGCTCCGCAGTGCTCATACACTGCACAGGTCGAGCTGTAGAGCAGATATGAGTGAGGAAATGGGCGAACTCTAGCTGACAGAAGCTGCACGGTTGACTGTTCGGTGTAAAAGTACTGTTCAACCCCGTCCGGCAGGATTAGACAAGTCAATACTCCCGTCGTGCTGCGGTTCGCAAGAAGAAGAACTGGCGCGAAGCTGAATGAAGAGAGAGGAAAGAGTGGAGAGGATGACGATGGCGGAGAAGGAATGGGTAGCGCGGCTTAGTCACGGGGCTGCCCTACATGGCGGGTTGACAGGTCACTTTTACGAACCGCTTCACTGCGAAGGATGCCATGACTCGCGATCAGATGGTTCATTGGTATTCATTTCTATAGAATATCTCTATATGTTCGATCATTACTCGCTCAATGCTCGAACAATCCACGTCCATCCCCTCGATGCCTCCATCCCAGTCACTCAAACAACCCTCCCATCCGAAGAAGCCACTATACTATGAAGCTAAAGCACGAAACATCCCAGCACGACACGCCAACTGGGTAAATGCGAAAGAATTTGCATAAATTACAAGTGAAGATCAAGATGCGATATGTCAGACCCCAAACCACCAGCTCGAAGGACGAAAAGACGCCGTCAACGCCAAAGGATAATGCCGCTAAAATGACTCGCAAGCGCCTATGACCGGCACCATGAGCATGCCAGTAAGCCGTGCGGTGTTTGTATCAAGAGAGACCGGCTGAAACTGATCTGGTATTCCCAGAAACGCTAGGTAACACTCGAAGATCGAATCCCGCGTCCCGTCGAAAGAATCAGCACCCGTTCATTAATGAATTCGTGGGCCAGTCGTATCCGGCATCACCCCTGCTATGCATCAGAAACTCCACGCTACAAAGTCCAGGGAATGGATACACATACCATGTTGTTATGTTGTTGTTAGTGTAAGCCTCTGCATGACTGGCAATATACTCGGTTGTCTCATAGCCTGGCGGGTCGCAGGTGATGCTGATATTGTCGGGATCCTGGTATATGCGGATATAATCGAATCTCATAAATCCAGGCATTATGTCGCGGATGGTCTCATTGATCGGAGCGAAACTCCATGCCATACCCAGGTTCATAACTATCGACATCGGCTCCATGGGAATCATCCGCTGTCCAACGTTGCCGTTGGGACCAATAGCTCGCCCGTCTAGGGTCCAGGTCTTATCCTGGCCCACGAACCAGGTCACGTTCCCTACCGCACCCGGGGTATACTCGAACGCATATACTTGGTACTCGGTCCCATTATACCAGCGGTTGTTGAGGTTGGTCAGGCCAGACATAGCCTGCTGGTACGGCCCGCCCCGGTAGGAATTTATCTCGGTGATACGAGGGTCGTACACCGCAGTATAATCTGCAGGTTGTCAGATCAGATATGACCAGGCGCATGTTGTCAGCAGCGTTAGGCACCTACCGTAGTCAGGCATGTACCAGATGTCAAATGGAGCCATTTGCAAACTCTGGGACGCGGTTCCAATGAAAGCGTTTGGGTTGTTGTTCAGAGGGCCTACACTGGCCTCGATCACATCGATTTCCGGGGCGCCACGGGATTTGCCCGGGGTGGGATGATCGGCACCGTCACAAGTGCACGCCGGTAGACGCATGCCTGGAAGAAAATTAATACCATCTGGAGAACTTTGATTCGGCGTAATGCCTGCATCGCATCCGTCGTAGTAGCTGTATGGCCACGTGCCATCCGTGGTCGCAGCATAGCCCGGGCGGCCTAGGTTGCCCATCGCCCAGAACCCGGGCCAAAATCCAGATACATCTCCAGCTCCGGGCAGGGAGATACTGGCTTCCAAGCGTCCACCAGAGAAGCACAGCTTATTCCAGCTTTGCACCATTCCCGAACGGTAGCCCAGCTCATGGTTGGTAAACGCATCGAATCGGATCTCCAATGATCCATCTTTCGTTGTGACAGCATCCGGGTCATACCACTATCAAGGGGTTAGTCGCGATGCATTGGTGGAAGACGATGTCAGTACTAGCCTCCAGGTCCTGCGTCACACCGTACCAGAAATCCATGGCCTGATAATAGGCGTCATCCCCATCATAAAATGTTCGGCCAGGGGTTTCGAATTCGTCAGAGAACTGCTCCGGGTTAATGACTATTCACTGTTGTAGCTCACAATATCTTCTCCCTGACTCACCACTAACTGCCATTCCTTCCCATCCACTGTCTTCTTTGTCATTGCTGATTCAGGCGTATCCGGGTCTATCAATCCAGTCCGCAAGTTGGTGAGACCTGCTCGATCCCCGACGTCAAGACACAGAGTATCGGCAGGATCACATGTCGGCACGTATTTTCTTGATATCCCGCCCAGGGCAGTTCTAAAGCCCAGTCAGTATGCGTCCAAGATGAGCGCGGTGCTGAGACCAGCAGGTCATGGATGACTCACATTACTGGGTAGGCAACAAATAACACTACAAATCCCACCGTCATGAGGAGCAGCCCACCCAGATTGACCAAACCCCGCTTGTTCCATACATCGCACACAATATCCCTGTCGTTTGGATCGGGATTATGCATATAGTCATCCTTCTCAACATCCTCCGGGAACAATAATAATCCTTCTGTTGGCATTATGTTGTACTTTTCCGTCACTGTTTGGGTGTTCACGTCATCCCCTTCACTTTCTGCACGCGAGGGCGCCCGGGAATCTTCGAAACGACTGTACAGGTAAGCTCTGGCATCATAGCTGACCGCCTCTGAGCTCCAGCTCGTCCGTCGCGAGGACCGAATCGACAGTTCGGGAGAGCGCAGTTCCTCTCTGACGCGGTAGGGCCGCGGGGGTATCAAAAGCTCGGTTGATTCCTGGGGAGTGGGCGAGCCCCATGTCGTCGGGAACGTGGCTTCAGAGGCCGACTGCACCATGCCGGGGGTCAACGACCGCCCCATCTGCTGGGGCGGTACTGACACGTAGGGATCATCGGAGTCGGCGAATGGGTCATGTTGGCCCGAATTGACACGGATGTGAGGTGTCTCGCGCAAGATCGCCTCTTCGGACATCCTGCGATATGAAGGTCGGCCTCGAGGAGACCGGACTGGACGCTTTTGGATGCTAATTTTGAAGCTTAATGGTGCTTAAGTAGATTTGGTGTCAATGAGCGGTTACCCAGTATACCAAGATCCCTTCTAGCTTGGTATATCACACGTCCTCCACTGCGCGTCCTTTGTGTTCCACCTGGTCAGGCAGATGCCCACCCTCTGGAGACCAGGTATTTCACTGCAAGCCCAAATATGATTGACGAGGGATGTCAACTGCTTAGTCGTAATGAGTGACAATGGAGGCGCGATAAATATCGGGTGTGCCAATGCGATAATGAATGTGAAAGTGGTTGTCTGATGCCCGCCTATATCCTAGAGCCAGTGCATATATTCAACCCCGGAGCTGAGCACGAGGATCGATTGATCTGACGAAGGGTTGAACTGATGCGATATGACTTGTAGCTAAGGGATTGTGGGATGAGCGACAGGAAGATAACTGTGCAGATAAAGAAAGAAGGAGTAGTGAACCGCTGAATCGCTCACAAGCCGAAGAATATCGCGGAGGCAGAAGTTGAGAGAGTGAAAGAAAAGAGAAAGCACGCGAATTGGAACCCAGATGAAGATGGTGACAGAGACAGCCGTGACGCAGGGCTTCAAGGAAGGGATGGGCAGCACACGAAGTGAAGGAGGAAGAAGAAGAAGAAAATGAAGGTGTGATGAGAGCGAGAATGGGAGAATGGGAGAGAGATGAAGGTGTGTGGCAGCCAGAGTGTGAACAAACAATGTCAGTCCCTCGAGTGGGCAAGTTGGTCCTACATGCATGGATGAACCCAAGCTTTTTCTTCCCTAATTTTCCTTTGAATTTCCCCTTTTTGCACCAGAATGGAATCACCTTAATTTTCCCTGCTGGGGTGACGGCGGCATTACAGCTGCAGGAGGGAGGGAGTAATTACAGGAGGGTTTGCAGTGCAACGACATGGGCGGAATGCATTAAATCAATTCTAGAGTCTAAAATCCCCTGGTGGGATTGCCAGGTCCAGAAAGGGCGGCAGCTGCATGGATGCTGCTTCGAATTGAAGTTATACTGCATCCCCTCGATCCCCGTCCGTGGCTGCGGTCTTCCTTCCAATAATGTGATGAGCTGCTGCTGCAACACGACGCAGGTCCGTCCCAGTTACCGTATACACTTGCTTACGCAGTCAGGAATCAACTCCTGAGGAAAGGGCCAACTTTCCCCGGCAACCCTTTTTCATGACAGATGAGATTCCTGAATGTTGGGAAAGAATCCGGTTGCCCTTGACTGGCGGGAATGACGGGCCCTGAACCATGGAATTTCCATTCTGGGCCGAAATACAAAAGTTAGTCAATCCCCATCTCGGGCGCATTAGTCCTGTTTGGGACTAGTCAGTACCAGGATGGAACGGCCACTAGTTCTCAAACTGATAACTTACAGTAACTTGCAGTTGCGCGAACTGGATTTAGCGCCGATCATCTGGTATTGTAACTTGGTAATAAACACGTCTTGATCTTTCTTTCTCTCCTTCCCGCATTCTTGCCGCCGTTGGCCATTGACGACTACATTCCATCTCTCCTGGCTGCCTGGATTATAGTCTTCGAGGGGATATAAGATAGGCAGTAAAGAATCGCCAAGTGGTCCCTTGTTCAACTGACTCCATCCAGCCCTGGATAATCCAACTTTATGATTTCCCGTTGCCAGAGAGCAACTTACGAATCTCTGCTATCGGCCCGGACGGGAGTGCTCAGCCATTGCCGATGCCGCACTATTTCCGTCAAAGGGATATATTATCCAACCTAAATTCGCTGTTCTCGCTGGCTATAAGGTTGATTCTAGAATTAGCAGCCTGGCTGTACAATACGTGTCGACCAGACAGAAAGTTAATCCGACTGCTGACTGACCATCAAACATAGGCTTCATCGTGATCCAATGGATCCTGTGTAACATACTATACTGGTTAGTCTGAGGCTGATTCATCTACAAAGCAGCCGTCTCCTTGGCGATGTACCTGCTTTGCTCGGCTAGACGCAGAGGGTGGAATAATGCTCTAAGTTTATCACCTATCATCCTCATAAGTAGAAGTGGAAAGATCCCCCGTATAGCGCTAGGAACCCCTGGCCTGTGCTTTGGCGGTTTGTTCATCCCGCATGGACCACATTCCACTGTTAGTCAACCAACTCATGTAGTTAAACTTGAGTCAGAGCTTTCAAGCTGTTTGATCAGTAGCTGGGTTTGCAATTGAAGTTGGCTTTATATCTATGTGTAACCTAGACCAGCCACCAACACGTCAGCTCGGGTCAGATCTGGCACAGCCAAGTCAAGACCAAAGTCAACGACTTACAGTGCCGGGCGCTTAACTACCCATCGCTTTTGCCCGGGTACGACTTTCAGACCACTAGAATATTAATCATACTTTTAGTAGCCAATACCTCTTATTGATGACCATAGACTTTTGATAATTGAATCATGATCTATCTAGGGTTATTTGCATGGAAACCTGCTGGTTTGGTTTCTTGATTTGACATAGTACTTGCTACTTGTAGTATATATATATATATATAGTATACCACTATGTATGCTGTGACTAGTAAGCATAGCATACTATATCCTCAACTACCCAATACCCTTCTTCGACTCCACAAATGCCAGACCATGATTACACCAATAATATCGCAAATCGAGCTGGCCAGTCTGGCCGAAGACTATCAGGATATACCTCTACCGAATATATTACCTACTACTCTATTCCTACTGAAAGCAACCGGACCTGAATAACTGCTCTCATTAACCACTTCCATAGCTAATATATACACAGTAATACATACAGCAATAGTCAACGTCTATCAGTATCTGACCCCTAGTCCACCAACAATACCCACAGCAGTCTGCAAACAACATCAACCACAACCATCAATTTTAGTCAATCAACCTGAGCAGATAAGCCATCACCCCTTCTTAAACCTCTCAATCTCAATAGACACCTCCGTCACATAGAACAAACCCTATGCTTCCCATTGCATATCAACCACCCCCAGAAACATATCAATCAATCAATCATCAATCACCATGCACTCACCAGCATGAACAATCACTCCTCCTCCTCCACCACCACCACCACCACCATCACCTTTGACACCCTTCACACTCCCCTCTTTCCCCTCCCTCTCCTCAACCTTAACCTCCACCATCTCTTCATCCCCCACAACCGCCCACCCCAAACTCGCCACATTCGCCGCCAAAAACCCATCAAACCTCTCCACCACCCCCCTAGCACACCCATCCACCACGCACCGAAACCTCCCCTTAACCCTCTCCTTCACACAAACCGCCGTACTAAGCAACTGCAACGACCTGCCCACGCCCAGGGGCACCCACCCACCCCTCGACGCCAGATTAAAGACCATATACCAGACATCATGGCCGCGGGGAATAGCCCTGCACGCGACGCGCCAACCACCCATGAGCTTATCAAAGCCCGGCCACGAGATCGCGCAGATATTATTGCAATCGTTGTTGAGCATCACGGGGTGTGTGGAGCTGGGCATGCAGGGGAGGCGGGGCGGGGTGGTGTAGTGCATGTTGGGGTCGGTGGCGCAGTCGAAGAAGAACAGGCTGTCCCGGTTCTGGGATGAGAAGGGCAGTGGGTGCGGGGAGCATGGGAGGTAGCCGATTTGCAGGTCGTGGAGGAGGTAGAGTCGGATGTAGTGCGCGTGTCGGGTCAGGAGGGTGTAGATGGTTGGGTTGGCGAAGGCGTGGTAGAGGGAGTGGGGGTTGCGGAAGGCGAAGATGTAGGAGGTTGGGTTGGTGATAATGATGGCGGGGTCGATTGTGGTTGTTGTGGGTTGGGAGTTGTTGGATAGGATGCAGATTGGCTGGTTGTTGGCGGCGTCGATGTGCAGGAGGATTTCGGTTTGGTGGTGCTGGTCTTGTGATTGGGCTTGGGGTGGGTAGGGGATGAAGAGGAATTCGGGTCCGGGTTGGATTTGAGGTTGGATTTGAGGTTGGATTTGAGGTTGGATTTGAGGTTGGATTTGAGGTTGGATTTGAGGTTGGATTTGAGGTTGGATTTG